ATAAATAGCCACGACACAAAAGCTGTTCCTGCAGTTCTCCAATTAGCTGCAGGCCTCTCGCTCCTCGCCAGCGGCAGCTATCAACTTGAAATTGGTAGCGACTATTTGATAGGAATGTGCCAGAGCACCATCTCAGAATTGACATCCAATGTTTATAAAGAAATGGAGAACAAGTTGTGTCCGGAGTTTATACGGTTTGACCTAAACGAGTCTCAGAAATGCAAGGAGTGGTTTGTGGAGCAATACAAAATACCGGGAGGTAAATATACACACATACATACATTCTTAAGTAAAGTGTTATGCTCAACTAATTTCTACTTTTCAGTAATTGGTTGCGTGGATGGCACGCATATTGGACTGCAAAAGCCAACTAAAGACGAGCATATGTTTTTTAATAGAAAAGGATTCCACAGTCTAAATGCTATGATAGTAAGTAACTATATTTTGCACAATGTAAGTAGATTATCTACATTTTATTGTCTTCGTTTGTTAGATTTGCGATCATACTTACAAGATCCTTGCAATCAACTGTCAGTATGGGGGTGCAGCACATGATTCCTTTGTGTGGAAGCATTCCAACCAGAGAATGACTTTAGAGGAGCATTTTCAGCACAACAGGAATGCAAATTCCTGGCTACTGGGTAATGCTATAAATTTTAAACGACCTGTGGAAGTTATAAATTTTTATTTACATTTCAAAGCGGACTCTGGGTACCCACTCGAGCCTTGGTGCATTACTCCTTACAGAAATCCTCAAGACGGATCAGAGGAGGCAAGATTTAATGAGGTACATTCAAAAGCTCGAAGCTACGTTGAGCGAACGATTGGTGTGTTAAAAGGCCGCTGGAGGATTTTAACATACGACAAGTGAGGGAGGTATGATCCTATAACAGTGGCTAGATTCGCAAATGTATGTGCGGCGCTGCATAACATTTGTATTAAATTTAAAATAAGTTATAATCCTCCAAACTATGAGGCTGAAAGTAATCTTGATATAGATATAGGAGAAGATGGTCAACTTACCCGAATTGGGCAAACTATACGGGACCATATTAAACATTCACTTTTAAATTCGAGCTAATTTTATTTAAAATAGAAGTTATAGTATACCTATTTAATTGAAGTAAAATAAAAATAATGAAACACGTTTGCTTGTTCATTCATTTAATTATATGTATGAAGGTACTTAAAGAAGAAACATTCACATACTACTACATACTAATGGTAAAAAAAATAAAATTTGTACTTCACAGTAATTAAAAATAATAATCCGGCAGTTTCTGCAATTCACTTCCGATTGAATTTGGGTCAAGTTTGTTTCTAATTAAACTAATTAATTCAATATCACATAAAATAAATTAGGGTTTGGACTTTGAGCCTAACACTTCCAATTCTAGGCACTTTATTTGGTAGTCAACTTGCCTGGTTGACATTTGACTTTGGTGCTCCGCCTCTTTCATCTGTAGCTTTCTTTCATTAATTTCAAGCTGTCTCTCGTTCAGTTGAAGTTGCCTCTNGTAAAATAAAAATAATGAAACACGTTTGCTTGTTCATTCATTTAATTATATGTATGAAGGTACTTAAAGAAGAAACATTCACATACTACTACATACTAATGGTAAAAAAAA